GTCGGTTGTCACGGAGTGGCGCGGTGCCGGCTTTTCGCCGCGACAAAAAGCGCCTCATTCATTATTTTGCTCGGCAACCCCTCGCAAGAGACGCCGAGACGAACGGGAGGTTGATGGGTGGCGCGTGCACCTGAGGGATGCTGCTGGCGAGAGAAAGGATCTGGCCGCGTGCAATCGATCCGCGCACAATAATAAACAGCACCCCTCGGCCGCTGCCGCATTAGCCGGACGCTTGTTTTTGTTTGTTGTTTTGCCGAATTCGTTCGCCCTGCACCCTCCTCCAGTTTTTGTTTCGCGTTTTCTCTTTCTCTCTTCCTCCGACATACATCCACAAAAATGGTTAAATATGCGAGCTGCGCATGTATGAGAAGAAATAATGTTGCTACCCGCGAGAAATAACATTCATTTACACGCATTTACATAGGGTTTTTTCCTTTATCAAAAAATAAGGAAATTGAACTTTCCTCTTTTAATGCTTCCCCGTAATATATGGCCGGATCATAATTTAAAATTAAAATACAAATCATCACCAACAATTTGAAAATAAGAAATATTAAGCATGTAGAGATTTCTCTAGTTGTCTTGAAATGGGTAGTAAAATTAATTTATATTTTCTCTCCCATTCAGATTCATTTAAAATTAGTAAAATCACACAACGTTTGATATCAAATTCAGACATCAGTATTTAAAATAATATTTACCAAGATACTTTCAATAATATGAGATATGAGAAACAAAATTAATTAATGTGTTAATTTTAATACTTATCATGATAATACTTTGCAATCTAAATTATTATCAATAGACTTTCCTTTTTGTCATTGCTATAATTATTAAATTACACATTTATCTCTTTTTGTATACCATTAGGGGCGTTGAAATAACACATGAGATATATTCCATACAAGATTGTGTCCAAACAGCGGATTTTTCTAGGGAAAACAAGAATATTAAATTTATCGTCAGGCCGAAATAACTCTAAAATTTGAAAAAAAAAAAATGTTTTTTAATAGCTTATTGATATTCAATTATTAATACACAAAATCGATTTTTTTTTCCAGAAAAATTATGATATTTAAAATTTAAAGAAAAACATTCTAAATTTTAATTGTTCTACTTGCTATTTCTTGGTGAAGTTAATTATTATTATTCATTCTTCTGGGTCGATTCAAAACCAAAAATAGAGAATTGAAAAGAAAAGTAAGGGTTTACAGCTATAACAACATGATCCGCTAAAACGCCTGATATCAAAAGACTCGGCCACCGCGATTAATCCACAATCTTTTTAAGCTTTCTTTCATAAATAAATCATCAAATAATTCCGCTTAATTGGATTTACAAAAACAATTTGCTAAACATGACTTGATTTTAATTTTATAGATTTTGTGTGTTCTCGAGTCTTTGCTTCAATTTTGAGATTTTCAATTTATGCAAAAGGTATTTATTTTTATTGTTAAATTTATTCAACCAACACAGTGTAAAAATAACTAATTCTGAATCTCACTTCAAGCAATTTGTTGGCAAGAGACATTGTGTGCTTTCGCAAGTGACGCCACAGACGACAGGAAGTTTGCAAACATAATGCATACATAGTACCAAACGCCTACATTCTTCCTGAATCCTGATCTTTTTGCGTATCTCTTACTTAGCCACTGTGGATATCTATATTATTGTATTTTTGTATGAGCTGCGGGTGTCAATGCAGAATTATACTGCAGTAAACTTGGTACATTAAAATTATTTTCCAGAGAGTGAAGCAAGGTTGCCGGAGATAATGGGCCGGGATAGCGAACACGGACTGGCTTTCCTCGCATGCAGATAGACAAAACGCAAAGCATGTGCACGATGATGAAAGGTGGGCACGCATGGACGAAACAACAAACGGACGGGTGCGCGGGACTCGGCGATTGTTGAACCCAGATTAATTAACCCGTACGCGACCTTGAGAAAATCATTCCATATTTAAACGATGAACGTCGCGTGGACACAGAAAATCTCTCAAAATAAAGCGGAATATTTTTGGAAACCAACATTTTGCATGTTTTTCCAACAGATCCAGTAAAAAGATTTTAAATTTTATTATGCTGCCTGCGTCACTCTGAAAAAATTTATAAATTTGTTTCTGTGTGTCAATGTGATTAAAAAAAATGGACGCGATTTTTAGATGAAAAATTTGATATTCCAAGTTTGTGCGTAAGCGTTTTGTGAGAGAGAAATAGATTTATCAAAATATGAAAATTAAAGGTTATTTATATGATTTTTTTTTTAAATGTGAAAAACTAAAAATTATTAGGACAGCTAGGGCTTCTTAATAAACAATTTTAAATTCTCAATAGTTCAATCTTGTCTTGAATACTTCAATAATATTTATAAAAATATAAATTCTTCAGTAATAAATAAATTATTAAGAATATTAAGGGAAGTATGTTACTGATGTTCCACGGTTGTTGAGAATAAAATATTATTTTTTTATGAAAATTTTTTGTAATTTGTTATTATCAGACTATAACATTCCTGAATTATATATTTCTTACAAATAACAACAATATATTCTAAGATATTATGCTATTCCCAACGTAATTTTTTTACTGTTACTTAATAAAATGATTTTTTTTTCCGGATTTCTACATAAGAGCCTTAATTTTGTTAGAGCAAAATTTTATGATTAATGAAACGTGATTATGTTTTCACACTTATAAAAAAATTCAAAGTTATGAAAATCAGGATATCATAGGATGAATAGATTTACTTCAACTGCAATAGAGTGCAAACATATATAAAATTAACCAATACAAGATTATTATTTTTAATTATCCACTATATAGTGTTCTAAAAAGAGAATAAAATATTGTGTCCACTTCTTCTTTAACTAACGGATATGCAATCAGAAAAAAATATTAATGAAACTAGCCAAGAATTTCTAAACAAAAAGTTAGATGGATGAACCTAGATTTCTTAAGCTTTCAATGTCACCAAATTAAAATAAATATGGCGCTCTTCTTGAAGAATATCTATTCATTTCTTTGTAAATATTTATTTATTTCGATCAATTTTATAAAATTTACTGTTCCTCAACTACAATAATAACTATTGCTGATGTTGTCAAGTCAGAATCGATGACCCGAGCAAAATAATACACTTGAGCGCAAGTAAGGTCAGTGTTATTGTCGGCGCACTCGACGCAGGCCTGCCTCCAGCAGTTGGCTCGGACTTGATTGCAAAATTGAAACCGATAGGATTCTTTCTTATCTCCGCTTTTTTCTGCGCGTCTGCTGCTTTTGCACTCTTGGCCGCGCGACTCGCCTTTTTTATCTGGTCAAATCCAATTTTTTTGAAAATTTTTTCGAAACTAATTATTTCAGTCACATATTTTTTATTTGTGCGAGCGATTGTCAACCCTTTGGGAGCAAAAAACAAAGCACGTCACGTGGGAACTGAGGAGTGCACAGCTGCCGCCGCCGCTCTTTTTTCGCCGCCCAAAACGGAGAACAAGGAGAGAAGCCAGCGTTTATCGCGCCGGCTAAAAACAACACCCTTGCTGCTTGCACTGCTTCTTTGTTGCCACTCAAAATAACTCCGGATGGACCGGAGGGAAGGAATTTTTTCAATGCCTCTCAAACGACTGTACAAAATATAATGCTCTGGGAATTTCCTCCAGTGGAAAATCGTAACCCTTTCACATCAACTTCAATAACAAAGCTTGATTAAATCTTATTCTCTTAGGCTCATTGTTCAATCCATCAAAAACAAAAAAGTTCGTTCTAAATCTTTTTGCAGTAGGAATATAAAATCCAATCTTGTTTAATTACTTTTTTAGATTGCATGGAATAAAATAAGCAAATGTTCAGTTTGCCTAAAAATGAAACTAAGTCCAATTTACAATTATAAATAAGAAATATCAGAAAACATAATAATATTGTAAAAAAAACCAAACACCTAAAAATCTGCGTAGAAATTTTATTAATCTCAATGAAATAATGTGCATAAAATTTAAGGCTTCTTGTAAGGAATTTTTTTTGTCACCTAAAACATTTTTGCGCTCTTGTTATCTGGTTCTCAAGAGCCAACTCTTCCTTATCCATGAGATTTTTGTTTCTTTCTATTGATCAACTGATTGCGGGACAAAATAAAGCAAATCAGGACAGCGTATGGAGGAGATGGAATAGCTTTACTTAGATTTCTCACATCAATCATTGTTTTAATTATTAAATAAAATTAATAAAAAATTTCTATAAAAAATTAAAAATTCAGCTTAAAATGGTATTTTAAATTTTGAAGACAAGAAATTTCTTACTGATAATAATGAAAAAAATGCCGACTTGAAAAATATGTATTCTGTAAATTTAAAAAAATGACACGAAATTTGTTAATTTCTTCTATTGCGTTGTACGGATTGTTAAAATTCCAAGTTCTAAACCATTTAAATTTTAAAATAACAAGCTGCAGAAAAAATACTACATGTACCAAAAAACTTTATGCATTTAATTTTTTTATAAATTTTGGCACCAAAATTAAAATTTTCGTTCGCAATTTAAAAAATTGTTATGAATAAATAAGTGATTTCACGACGGTCTGAAGATGAAATTGAAAATAATAACTGGTCAGGTCGAAAAGTGCGAAAAAAAAATCGCGCGGCCGCGGGGCAACACAGGCACATAAACACGGCGATGATTACAAATCGATTGGGCCATTTGCGAAGTAACGTATCTCCGCATGCCGAGCGCAGAAAGAACGGCAGAGATGCACCTTCGCGAGGCGAACCCGCCCCCTTTGGTGCTCGCGACCCGGCCAGCGATCCTCAGGTCGCCGTTGGGCATCCGCAGGGCGTTCGGCGAAAGCCCAGGGCCGACTGGCGGCGTCGGCCAGTCGCAATGTTTACGTTACACAAAGGCAGAGGAGCGGAGAGGAGCAGCCGCGAGAGCACCAAAGTTAGTGCGCGGTTCGCACCGCGACCCGAAGGCCCCTGTTGGTGCCCGTTCGGCGCCCCAAAGGTCACTCACCCTGGTGATGGGCGTCACGGATGCCATGACCTGTTGGTACGCTGCATTCTGCTCGGCTTCCCTTTGATTCATCAACGCGATTTTTTCACTAAACTTCCTCGGGTTCGCCATAATGGCTGCTCTGTGTATGCGTTACACCGACTAAACTAACTTTGTATTTGTCGATCCGGACTGACTGAGCAGACAGCAGGCAACCAGCACATCTGCACTCACCACGGGGCGACCTTGCCCCGTTCGCCAGCCCACTGCCATCTGCCGGGCCCCGCCCCCACCACTCGTGTAAACACAAAAACAACAATGGTCGGCGCGACGGCCCTTTTCTCCGCCGGCCGGGTCGCGAATTTCGCCGTTTCAGCAGCTAGAAACAGGTATATGACAATTAAAATTTAATTGAACATTTTCCCTATGAAATTCTTCAACTTTAAAACTTTCAATCGTCTCATTTCAAGCACGCAAAAGTGCATAAATTGGGCTCCAATGCAAGTCTCATAAAAGCGTGACAATTTTAATTGTGAAGCGATGCTCCAAGCCTCCTTCTCCTTCTGCAAATAAAATTCCAGCGAATATAATTTCATGAGTTTTGAAAATAATATTTCAAATAACTTCATTACTTTTCATTTATCACCAAACAATTTTCAAGGTAATACATATGCGACATGATTGATACATAAAAAATGTAACTTTTGCTCATTTTTGTTGCCTTCCTCTATAATTCTGATAATTCTATCAAAATTGCAAATTTTCTAGATTTTATTTTTTCCAGGCATGCTGAGCGAATTTTAAGCTGCTCCGTTCGATCATTTAGCCTCTTGAGGACCTCTTCATTGCTATCTAAAAGAATCGGCACCCAATCTTTACTATCACCAGAAGCAAGAAATGTCGCACCTAATACAAGCAGAGGCTATTGTGATGAACGTCCTTCGCCTAAGCTGATGGAATTTCCTCAGGTCCTGTGGCCTAGTATTTTCAAAGTAATAAAGAACTGGATCATGGCAAAATTTGTCATCACTCCCTATTTCGACAGAGATTTCGACCTCCGAGAATTTGGCGAAGCCTCTCAACAGGTTTCTGAAATTAAAATCTTAAAAATTAATTTCATCATGAATAATTGTCCTACAGGCCGTGGAGCACGTTTCTCAGCAATTATCAAAAAACAACCTGGATAGTTTACAAGGTTTGGTGTCGAGAGAAGCACTTGTTGAAATTAGGAGCAGCCTCTCGAGGTTTTCCGTACAGCAGCTCTCGGAAATCGCAGTCAACAAAAATGACATCTACTTTTGTTTCCCGCATGAAGTTGGTGTCATGTTTGATGACGAGGAAGGTAAAAATCTACTCTACCGAGTTTAAATTTTGATCTAAAGTAATTTTGCCTGCTTCTCAATTCCAGAGAGCCAAAAGCGTTACGTCGAGATTACTATGGTCTACTTTTTGATGAAAGGCTTAGCTGATTACAAAACGCAGCACGGCCAACCCCCAGACTTTAATGCATTGAGGGCAGCAGAAAATCAGGATAAATTATTTGTGTTGAACTACAGGTTCATCAGGGAATTCACCAAAGGCGTGTCTCCAGATTGGACGATCAACATGCTGAACCACTACAAAGGTAGACCAAACTAAACTTTGAGTAAAGACTGTACCAGTGTGTTAAAGAAGTCTTTGGAATAATTTCAAAATAAATTAAATGATTATTGTTTTTAAAATAAGAGTGCCAGTTGTTGATTTTGAGAAAATAAAAATCTAACATTGGAAGAATATGGTGCTAAATATATTATTTATTTTCCAAGCGGCTCCAAATTTGTATTAGAAAAATAATTTTAACAGTCAACATACTTTTGCTATCAGTGGCTGGGCAATGAAGATAGCAGTTGAAGCAACAATTTTATCACTCTTGTCCAATAAATTTATAGAGAGGTTGATTCCCTAAATATATTTTTTAATATCATATAAACTCCGTTTTTAAAACAAAACTTACAGTCCTGCACTTTTGTAGATGGTGAATCAAGAATTCATTAGGAGCGTCCGTTTTGACAATAGTGTAGGAATCCTTAAATAAATTTTTGATTAATTATTATCCTAAAATTAAATTACATACCTCCATGTCCAAAATATCTCTATCACTGGATAACTTTAGGTTCCAGAGGTCACAGTCTACATCGTCAATGACCATTATGAGCGTATTCATGATGTACTGCTTATATGGCTGAAAACTTGCTCTCGCATTCAGAAATAAACCAATTTCCTTGTTCTCAAATTTAACTTCAATTTCTTGGGGAGGAGGTGAAACATAATTGAAGAAGTTGGAGATTTTTGAGTCACCTGGTATTTAATAAAATACATAAGCAATTATAAAAAAAATATAATTAATAATAATATAATTATGCTACTACCTGTGACATCATCCACAAAAGTGAAATGTTCGTAGATGTTTGTAGAAATGCTTGGAATTTGCCTCTGCTTCTCATCTGGCATGTTTTGAACTTCGGTCTTACTTATAGCTAAATATATAAATTTAATTTTAAATTCATTTCTTTGCCCTTGGACATTTAAAGTACCTTCATTGACTATGTTGAAAATGCTAGCCATCTTAAATGGCATATCGGGGCCTATATATTTTGATAATTCGGACATGTAGATGCTGTAAGGTTTCTTTTTTGTTTCAAATGATGACATGTTTCTAGATGTGGCACAAGCTTTCAAATAATTGAGGTCTGGAGTATCACTTGGTTTCGAGGTCAAAACCTGAATCTGGCAGCTTTAAAAAGAAAAAAAAAACTAAAAATTCATTTTTAGCTTATAAGTATCAATCTTACTTAGGGCAGTCATAATATTTCAGGCACATGTCTAGAATGATAATCCTGATTTTTGGATTGTTCTTTAGCAGTTTGTCTCGGATATATGTCTCCGTAATCCATTTTGCTGAAAAGAATTACTTTATGTAGTGATAAATAATTTTAATTCAATTTTATACATTTAGTCTTGTTCTTTTCCGGTGACTCGGAGATCTTAGAGCACATTCCATTTTCATCTGTGCACAACTCTGATGTCTTGTAGGGCGGAATCAAAATCTCTGCTTCTCTTTGGCAGCCGTGTCCAGCGTAGTACAATAAACCTAATAAATATAGTTGATTTGTAAACTGTAGGGACGCCATTGCCAACTAATTTACCGTAAACTCCTTCTTTAAGAAGATTAGAGAACGTATCTATGAATTGAACCATGTCATCAAAATCCAGGTTAATTAGTGGAAGAACTTTGAATCCAACACTTTTCAATTTTTCAGCAAGCAAAACAATATCGTTTACTGGCTTCAGCAAGTTTCCATCCTCATTTCCGATTAACAAAGCAATTTTTTCCACAGCTTGAAGTTTAAAATGATAAATTAAATATAAGGGTTCTAAGTAATTATTTTTATACCTTGAAGTTTTCTGCTTCTTTGGACCGGAGCTAAAAATTGCTCTGGGATCTATCGGCAAAATTAATACTTATAAGTAACAGTGTGGAGATTTAAACTTACGTTGACAATGACTTCCTTTGTATCAACACTGCCAGCATCATTATAAACTTGACATTTGTATTTTCCTGTGTGTTTTTCCGAAATACTAGTTTCAATCTAGAATCGTTGAATTTTTTAAATTAATTCTTAACTTACTTTACCATCTTAATTTTACCATTAGGGTACTCTCTGTTTGGTCAAGCAACTTGATACTATTGAAGTACCACTGATAATTTGGTGAGGGGTAACCAGTAGCTCCACACGTCAAAATGATAGGTTCAGGCTCAGCTCGGCATAGGTTCTGGGGCTGCGTAATTACGACCGGCTTACTGTACTTGACAGTAAGGTCAACACCCTTTGACCTGAATTCTGGGTTACTTGGCAAATGAGGCTTGACGGTGCAGAAGTATCTTCCTTGAGACTCTGGCCTTAAACAATGAAAGAAAATATTATAAAAAAAAAAATGGATTTGAATTGATATTGTATACCCAAATTTTTTCAGGATCAAAGTGGAGCTTAAAACATTTTCTGTGTAACTTTCTTTCAGCTCAAATTTCTGGTCTTCCTCTTGGATTTCAGTGTTGTCCACCTGCCACTTAATTTCTGGTCGAGGTACGCCCTGTACGAGACAAGTCAGCTGCATCGTCCCATCCAAATCAACTTCCAGTCTCCCTTTTTCGTTTCCTGGCTGACTAATGATTGAGGCAGCCACTTAATAGATAAAATAATGGAATGCTTCAATAATTCACAGTGGAATGAAGTTAACCAAATTTTCTAACCAGGCTTTAAAAGTGTTGAAAGAGGATCATAAAGCTGCAAATTTTCCAAAACAACTGCTAGGACGTTCACAGGAAAAAGTCTATCGTTGAGCTCTGCGATTAATTTTTCTGATGGATTGGCGTATTCCTTAAATTTATTGATTGACAGAGGCCTAGAATAATAAATAAGTAAATTGTTTGCTTGAGTTGAAACATTGGCTATACGTACCTTTCGAAAAATGGGTTAATCTTTTCTATTACTTTAATCCAGTGTTTCTCCTTGTTGAGCTCAGTGATCAAATTGTCAGTCACGGTGCTTGGCAAGTCTTGTAGTTGAGTCTCTTCATCGATCCCGTCGGAAAAATCCATACTTACAATCTGGAAAATTTGATCTATCCGTCAGATACGTCATTAAGTAGCAAATTTTCCGGCTTACCAGGAAAATATCACAATTTTGCAAGGTTTTCCTCGTTCAGCATCACCAGGCGGGCCAATTCAAATAAATTCGGCGCCACCGTCGGCCGCACTCCTGTTGTACTAAAATCGCCATTATTATTCATCTTGTAATTCTAAATTCTAAACATGGCCGTCCTGCGTACGTAAATAGCGGCGAAAAGGCCGAAAAGTGCAAAATCGGCGATTAAATTGCTTATTCTGGCTAGGTAACTTAGAAAATATATTATTTAATAAATTTCCGAATTAATTACCATATGAAAATCAGTCAAAAGTCTAAAACGTTTTTCAATTTTTTAAGCTCAACATTTTCCTCTTAAAGTATTTTTTTGTAGTTTGCGTGGATTATGAAGATTGTATTTTAATTATGTAACTTTAATATTTATCAATTATTTATGAATTATTTTTTTATTATAGAAATTTATTATGAATCATACGGCTCGCCGGCTTCGCAGTGAGTCTGCAAATCCTCATCTACAGGCCATCTACCCAAACCAAAAACCAGCTTGTTTCCTTGCCCTCCTGATTTCGAGCAAGCTCACCTACTGCATCGGTGTCTTTCTAGCCTACGACATCCTCAGACAACTCCACGTGATTCCTCTTCTTTGTCTTCTGAAACTGATGTAAGTTTTTGTAACCTATATATCATGAAAGAGACAATAAGTCAAGCCAGAGTTTGAAATTTATTTTGTTCTTTGTAATCATGTTGAGTCTCATGAAACTTTTATGGAAAAAATGTTTTGTTTTGTCCGATAATTCAAGCCAGTTTTAACTTCAATTAAATTTACCTTGAAACTTATAAAAAGTAGTGTGCTGAATTCGGTTCTTGTTTCTGTAAAATTTTCGTTGTTCAAATTCCAAATCAGCCCAGCTGGAGTTGAGCCTTATAAGTTTCAAGGTGAGTAAACTACTGTGTTATTTATACAACCAACCAATTTTTAATTTTCAGGTAACCAAGCAAAATGAGTGAAGAGACGATTAGAAATTATGGGCTCAGACGAGCAGCACCGAAGAAACTAAGCCAAGACTTTGCTTATTTTGGACTCAAGAAAGATAAGGATGAACCAGAGGCTAAGAAAGCCAAGGTGGTCGAGGATCCAATCACTGAAGTTACTGAAAAGAGAGGCCGAGGTCGTGCGAGAAAGTCTGACCCTTTGTCAGTTGAGGTCAAAAAACCAAGTTCCAAAGAAACGCAAAGAGCAACCGAGCAGCTCAAAAATACCTTAAAGTCTGCAGAAGATGAGGAAGAGATACATGCTGCAAACACTACTCTGGTAGAGGAGGTTGTTCCTTACGAAGGCGTTTCTCAGGAATACCAGGAAACTAGCATTCAGATTTTGGACTTTCCTATCAGAATTGAGAGCATTGAGACTATAGAAGTCGATGAATCAGACTCGGAGGTCAAAATTGAATGCGAAGAGTGCCACAAGATGTTGAAGCCTTCATCTTTAAAGCAGCACCAGAAGACCCACCTTGGGGACAGGCCACATGGTTGTGATCTTTGTACTGCTAAATTTACGAGAAGAGGTGATGTCGAGAGGCACGTCAGGATTGTTCACAACAAGGACAAGCCCTTTGTATGTCACAAATGCCCACGGTCCTTTGGTGACAAGAAGAATTTGAAGTAAGTCAATATTAATTTAATTTTTAAATTACTTTATTAAATTTTATTCGGCCTTGCAATAAAAATAGAAAAGATTCACTTACAATTTTTTTTTTTTTGCTGCATCTATTAGATGGCACTTGATGAATCACGACAAGAAGTTGTTCCATGTCTGCGAGACTTGTGGCTTCAAATTTGGTAAAAAGGACTACTATGACAACCACGTCAAGTACATTCATCCGCAGCCATCGCTGGATTACGAATCGGAGGAGGAGGACTACACAAGTATCCAGCAAATTGACAAGTCCATGGTTCTGGACATGAATTCGATAGCAATGCACTCTGGTATCCCCTCCCCCAAAAAGGGGCACGACAGCCTAGTTGTTGAGCTGACTCAGCCGCAGCTGCAGAGCATTTTGGAGCAGTCTGAGTCCAATCGAATAGCCATCGTAGGCTCCGATAGAAGCGTCAAGTACCTCTCCATAGCCCCTAAAAATGCGCCTCAAAAACCATCAGGCCCTCAGGTTAGTATCCAAATTAATATGTTCAAAGAATATAAATTTATCCTCTCATTTAAATCCATGTGTAAATTTTAGGTTGTGAGTTTGAAAGCTCTGGAAAGAATCACGAACATGTCCACACAACAAATTGTTGACTTGCACGCCCCAGACAAGAATGTTACCGACCCGAGCCAGTTAAAAGCAGTGGTTATCGAAGTTGCTGAAGTAGAGGAGCAGCAGGTTGAAGAAATTATTGTAGGCGATGGAGAACATTTTGGCGGATCTGATTCGTCGGAAGGTGCAGCAAACGTTGAAATGATAGAAGCACTGTTGGACGCAGCTGAAACTTACAAGTGATAAAACTGTTATTTTTGCTCGTTAACCTGAATGTGCTCCTGTGGTGCTAGATAAAAACTTAAAAGTGCAACGAAGTCAAAAAACACATCCCGATTAATGTGTGCATCACACTCCAATTTATGTAATGTGTATCTTATTTGATTCTATATTAATTTAGAATATTGTGTTTTCTCAAGCAATAAAAGCATTCAAATATTTTATATTGACATATAGTTGTTATTCAACCAATTTGATATATAGGGACTAGGGAGACTATAAAATGAGAATTTTTGAACTAGGTTGTTTTAAATTTTAGATGAGACTATCTAAGCTGCTGACTAAGTTAGATGTTCTTGATGTTAAAATTTTATTTCAGAGCTGGATGCCTCTTTGTCATTGTCCAGAAGCCTCTTACAAATGGTCAGCCACTCACTGAGGCCCAATGGCTACAAACAATCTACCTGGCTGTGGGCCGAGTGTTGGTTTCCATCCTCTGGTTCTATGGAATCAGCCTCAGTGGCCCGTTCAGGGCCATTCTAGTCTGCGAGCAGTACGACTTTGTGGTCGTGGCAGGATTTACGGCTTTGACCTCAGGAGCGGGTGGTAATTCTGCCTTCAGGGGCGCCCTGACCTTTCTAATAGGCCTACTGGTTCTGCTCTTTTTGGACCACGATGAGGGAAATTTGCACCCAGACGCAGATCACACCAGTTCTGGAGGATCGTGGATTGGCTTGGCAGACCACAAGGTGATCAAGAAGAATGAATTGAAGTAAATTTTTTTATAACAAAATAATAATTTTTGTTCAAGGTTGGAGTTATTTTGATGGTTTTGGTCATGCTTGTCCAAGTAGGAGTGAATTCGATTGCGAACAAACTTGGCTCCTCTCTTGGTGGACAAAAGAGAATCCACTCGTTGACAACAGTTTTTGAAGGCATTATTTTGATTCCTATTTCTGTGTTCATTTATGCTTACAAGGTAAGACTAATTTCATAAATGAGTCTGTTTATTGAATTAAAAAAATTAGGGAGCATCTCCAGATTTTACCCTATCTACGTACATCATGCCCATGATAACATCTGCTATTTGCATTTACTTCCTAGAGTTCTACATCAACAGTTTCACTCTCCAAAGGTGAATTACTTTGAATTATTTAAAGAAATGTATTAATCTTTTTGTGCAAAATAGACTTCAGCCAACGCAAGTGGCGCGAGTTGGCTCGATTTCTGTCTTCCTGTCCTCGCTCCTCTGCGCCTACCTTTGGAGCAGCGCTGCTAATCAAGTGACAAAAGCCGACCCAACTTCATACACGGTGGCTGACCATTCATTGTCAGGTGGAAGCATTTTCGCCTGCATTCTCTTCATATTAGGTACTGTACCTTTTGTTTTTAAATGCTTAATTTTTAACTTTTAATTAAAATTATAATTGCCTATTATTTTAGCATCTCTAAGCTTAACGTCAGATGCAAAGCAGGGGACCAAGGGCTCCTTCATAGGTTATTCAGAAACAGGCCTGCCCCTATACAGCTTTAGGAACAGCGCTCTGCACCAAACCTCTAAGTCATTTGTCAATTTGTGCACCACAATTGTGAAGCAAATCTTAGCTAATCAAAACAGTCGAAAGATTTTCTACTTTTTGTGTGTAAATATGGGTACGTATTTGTAGAAAGAATTGACTCCATTATAATTTTTTTTATTTGGGACTGCAGCTTTCACTGTGGTGGAGTTTGTCTATGGAGTTTGGACAAACAGCCTCGGACTGATATCTGACGGATTCCACATGCTCTTTGACTGCTCAGCCCTAATTATGGGCCTGGTTGCTTCAGTAATGGCAACATGGAAACCCTCCAGGACATTTTCTTATGGGTAAGAATATGAAAAACTGTTTCTTCGAATTGACCTTAAACAAATTAAAATTTAATTCAATAGTTACAATAGAGTTGAAGACTTGTCGGGTTTTGTCAATGGCCTGTTCCTGCTTGTGATTTCTTTTGGAGTGTTCACTGAGGCAGTCAGCAGACTTTTCGACCCACCAGATATTAACACGAATCAATTACTGGCAGTCTCATTTGCTGGGCTCTGCGTCAATTTGCTGGGAATCCTTGCATTTCGGTAAAATTGGTTACAAAAAAGTATGAAAAAAAAATTAATCTTCATTTTTTGTAGCCACAATCCAGGCGGTTCTCACGGACATAGTCACGGAGGTGGACATCATGGACACTCGCACAATTCAAATATGGAAGGTCGGAGCCAAAATATTTCTGTATTTCTTTAATTTGTTTTTATTGTGCTTTTAGGTGTATTCTTGCACATCTTGGCTGACACAATGGGAAGCGTTGGCGTAATAATTTCATCGCTGCTGATTGAAAATTTTGGCTGGTACATTGCGGACCCGATCTGCTCCATTCTGATTTCCATCCTTATTTTCCTGAGCGTTATTCCTCTTTTGAAAAACTCTGCTTATGTCTTGCTCCTGCGCGTTCCTCCAAAGGCACTCAAAGAAATGACAACCGGATTTAAAAGAGTAAAATTTATTTAGTTTAAAATGCATGATGTGAAACATTTATTTTTTTGTTAGGTCCAAGCAATTGATGGTGTTGTTGGAGTAAAGGACCCCTACCTATGGCAGCACACCAGCTCTGCCAATATTGGAACGCTGAGGGTGCAAGTTTCGCTAGACGCTGTGGAACAACGTGTTGTCCAACAGGTAAAACTCATTTTTTAAATTAAAATATTGTTAAATTTTTCCTTTTGATTCAGGTCACTGCAATTTTCAAGAGCATGGGTTTCACGGAATTCACTACCCAAGTGGAAAAACCAGACTTTCCACTGCATTTGACAAACCTAGGTGTCAACTACAACAGCATTTCCAAAATTGCTGGCCATTTTGACAATAAGTTGCTTTCCAATCCCGACGCCGTTGTCAACGTCAAGTTTGTATAGGTTTGTTTCGAATGCTATTTGGAAGGTCTCCAGCTCTGATTTTCAAACCGCAGTGGAAATTTTTTTTATCTTGTTAATTCCATCCTTTTTGCATTTTATACGGTTACGTCATTATGCTTGTTAATATTAAAAATTGTGTTTGCTCTGAAGCTAGCCAATTTTTATTGGAATCATAATAAAACTCTGAAATTAAAATGAATCATCCTCTTTATATTTTACTGCAAGTGAAATAATGCGTGCTAACAAGATTTCCTCTTTAATGCTACAACTATTTAATTGATAGCTGTTCCTAGTTGATTGATCAGGACTTGTTTATAAACATCATCATTCCTGTTATAGAGTTACATTCCAATCAATTTAGCTTGCTATTTTTTATATGATTTTGCAAGTAGTGCTGTGTGATGATGAGCGTTGAGATGATTATAAAAAAATTATCCATAAATGATTAAAAGAAAAATATTATTATTTAATCAGCCTTCTCTTTGAAAAAAAAATTTGCAGAAAGCAATCTTTGGAAACAGGAAGGATTTTTTTAGTTATTTCGCAAGAAGCAATTAAAATTTCTACGCTTGTCTGTAAACAACATGCGTTATATTTAGGTTTCCGCTTGTCATCTATTGACATTGACTTTGAAAATTGCGTTTCACAAGAAATGATAACCGTTGAAGTAGAGGTAATAGTGCGGTTTTATCTTTGTATTTAAAAGGAAGATAATGCAAACAGGAGGCACTAAAAAGTGTCTAAATATATTGAATGCCAAGAGTTGAGTTTGATGTCACTTTTGAAAAGCTTTTCTGCTAATTGCTAACGAAAATATCCAAGAATATTTAAGAATTAAAATTTAAATGTTTTCCTGCGTTACTTTAATTTATGTATGTGCAATTATATGAATATTGTTCCTTATTTTTATTTATGATGTCAGCGTGTGGTGTGATCTTCTGTCCAGGCACCTTTTCTGCAGGTACCCTGCGGCAGTCGGCGGCTTGGGTGGGACTAAAGAAACCGCGCAGAGGCTATATAAAAGGCGAGAGCGCTACCCTGGAGCTTCGCTTTCTCTGTTTTGACGCGCCGCAGTGAGAGTCTCAATTTTATTTTATCGGATCCATTCAAGACCAACTTGGACCGCGCAATAGCACCATTTCTGCACTTGCGGCGCGTACAATTATTAGCAAACGCATCTAGATTCATTTCTTTGTTCTACAATATGGAAGCAGGGAAGATTTGTCGCGCCGTTCTCCTCTTCCTGTCTGTGATATTTTCAACCACTCACGCAGCTAAGTTGAAAATTGGTAAGAAATTTTGATTGCAGACGCGGCATTAAAAGAATTTTGAAAAATTACCTTTTTTAGAACAAAAATTTTAAATCAAAATAGTAAATTTTAAAATTCATAAGATATCTGTATAAATTGTTCTGCTTTATCTAAAAAAAAATATTAATTGCACTAAATCTTTCTATCAAAAGATTTTTGAAAAGTTTGTCAGCAAATTGCATTAAAAAAATCACTGTAAAACAGACCACTTACCACAAACTTTTTTTTTTAATAAATTTGATATCAATTGTATATAAGAACATAATTTTAAGTAATGAGTTGCATTCTCACGATAACCGAGAACTTTAAAGGATAAAAATTTGCTTCAATTTTTCCAAGTAAAAAAATATGAGTGAGTGGAATACACAGTAATATATAAATTTTCATTAACTTGCCTATTGCAATTTCATCAAGGTCAACTAATTTGACGCCAAAAGAAAACAAATGAGATAATAATATTGCGTAACGCGGTAATGAGAGTACTTGTTCGTGATGACAAGCGTAATGAATTCACACAGGTGACTTCGCTCAAGCGTGCAGAGCCGACGGCCCTGAACTTAATGAATGCGTGCGCCAGGCAATGCTGAAAGTCATTCCAAAAATGGCAAAAGGTATTATACATTATTTTCGGCTTCGCATGCCAATTTGATTTCTGAACAGTCATTCTTGAGTGCACAACAAGCCGTGATGCCCTAATCACGCAATGATTGGCGTGGCCGTCAAAAAAATAATATTTATCGATATGCGTCCCGTTGAAATCTCGATTCCACTTCCTGTATTTTGTTTTTGTTTATGATTAAGAATTTTTGAATATTTGAGCAGGAGTGCGAGACTTGGGCTTGATTCCCTTTGACCCCCTGAAGGTGCCCAAGGTGGTGATTGACCAAAGAGGAAACGGGCCTGTCGGTCTCCAACTCACCTTTGTAAACTCGGAGCACGTCGGAGTCAGCAAGCTGGCGCCGCATACTGTCAGGTAATACTAAATACGTTCATGTTGACTTTTCACCTCTCCCAAGAGCCAGTTAATTGATTTTGATTTTATAATTTGTTATTTTTAGGCTTTTCTATATCTCTTATTTTAATACTAGAGAAGTGTTAGTAAGACACAAATTTGAGTTCAACTTGATTTAACTATACCTAAAACTGTTCAGCCCTTCTATATTAATTACTAATTGGTAAAATTTTTTTTAATTCATAATTTAATTAATGTGATGCAATCGATTTATTTATTCACAATAATTGAACTTAAAATCAAAATAATATGTTTGACGTAAAATAATTTTAAATTTAATATAAATAATGGTAAAAGACAATTGAATATAGTGGCTAATTTAAAGATATTAATATAAATATTTAAAAATAAAAATCTAAAAACAATTATACAATTGAAACAAAAATTTGCTAAAACTTTTTTAGCGTTTAAAATAATGCCCTATGTTAAAAGAAAAAGAAGCATCAAATAAAAAATGAATCACAAAAGCATATTATATTTCTATTTTTAAAGTTTCTCCTCTGACTTTTCCTTTCTGAACAAATGTCAATTTGCCACACAACACACTCTCTGTTTACTATATTAAAATTGGTATAGTGCTAAAAGCACAAAGTTTCTACAATACGTAATCAAAACAAACGAATAATGAGACACTGCAGTGCACGATTCGGCGCACTATACGCTGCAGAGCCGCAGGTCATTTATCGAGGGTGAAAGTGGAAGTCGAGAAAAGAAAAGCCGCAGCATCGCTTTGGCTATCAAGCTCGTCGCAAATACACCGGCAGACTTTTTTCATCACAGCCGAGAGCGACTGTCCAAATGTCTTGTATATTTTCGACGAAAGTAACAAGTGACTCGGTCTCTGCTTAATATTTGTCGGCGATCTCTCACGTTTGCGGCGCCGCGCGCGGTTATATAAGGTTATAAGAGCAAAAGTAGCAACTTTTACATCAGACACGGCTCTCGTGTGTTCAATATTTTTTAACTCTGGGCTTGACCACATACATCCTGTGCCATTTTGCGTTGCTCATAAACTTATTACAGTCATTATGCATTTATGGCCTTTCTCTTATAAGGCCAGATCGGACAGAAATTAATTAAACAATGCAAATTTTAGAAAACGAACTTCATTTTATGCAAAATCCCTCAAGAAGAAAAGTCAGTTTAGAAATGAGAGTGAAATTGTCTAACACTTTTAATTTTCAATTCAATTTTTTTCTTTACAAATTTGTCTTTTGTGTTAAGAGATTCCAACAATTTTACTTTCATATGAGAGCAGTATTTTTTTCTTCTGTAAGTAATGGTATTTTAAAATATTGGAATAAAACCTGAGAAGTGCATAATGTTCATTAAAAATTAATTATTCGTTAAAACAATTTGCATTCTATTTTTTTTTTATTTTTCAGAGTTGTGCCAGAAAGAATGTATTTTGAAATCAACTCAACCTTGCCCAACTACAGAATCATTGGCGACTATGAGGTTACAGGAAGGATTTTGCTTCTCCCTTTGATCGGAAACGGTCCTAGCAATTTTTCGATGAGTAAGTTTTACATTTTGCCTTGAAAAATGTAATATAATCGTGAATATAATTTTGGTTCAGCTATTTCAGCAAAATTATCAATTTAAATTGGAAATAACAAATTATTTAAAAAAATTATATTAACTGCTGTATGAAAGAGCAATTTAAAAAAGATCCAACTATAAATAATATCACAGGCAAAAGAAGAAAGTTGACGGCATGCTTATTTATTTCTATCATTTTCTATAGTTCAGTGTATCGTTTAAAATTATATTGCAGCCAGTCAATGCCCAAAGAGTGAAAGTCATTGCATTCCGATGTCATTTTATTTATTGTATGTCAACTATGTCATGACCTGGTCAAGACCAAACCAATACTCAAATAAAAACTTAAATGATGAATCATTGCTCCTCATTTTAATTTTTGTATTGGATCGGCAGTAAATTAACAATTTTAATGCAATGGCATCAAATTTTTATAAAAACTGAGAAATCGGGAAAGAAGAAACCAAATTTTTAAAATACTGGAATTATGCTCGCAATGCACTATAATCCTTAATTTAAAACTCAGATAAAAACTTAGCAAATGAATCATTGCTCCTCATTTTAATTTTTGTATTGGATCGGCAGTAAATTAACAATTTTAATGCAATGGCATCAAATTTTTATAAAAACTGAGAAATCGGGAAAGAAGAAACCAAATTTTTAAAATACTGGAATTATGCTCGCAATGCACTATAATCCTTAATTTAAAACTCAGATAAAAACTTAGCAAATGAATCATTGCTCCTCATTTTAATTTTTGTATTGGATCGGCAGTAAATTAACAATTTTAATGCAATGGCATCAAATTTTTATAAAAACTGAGAAATCGGGAAAGAAGAAACCAAATTTTTAAAATACTGGAATTATGCTCGCAATGCACTATAATCCTTAATTTAAAACTCAGATAAAAACTTAGCAAATGAATCATTGCTCCTCATTTTAATTTTTGTATTGGATCGGCAGTAAATTAACAATTTTAATGCAATGGCATCAAATTTTTATAAAAACTGAGAAATCGGGAAAGAAGAAACCAAATTTTTAAAATACTGGAATTATGCTCGCAATGCACTATAATCCTTAATTTAAAACTCAGATAAAAACTTAGCAAATGAATCATTGCTCCTCATTTTAATTTTTGTATTGGTTCAGCAGTAAATTAACAATTTTAATGCAATGGCATCAAATTTTTATAAAAACTGAGAAATCGGGAAAGAAGAAACCAAATTTTTAAAATACTGGAATTATGCTCGCAATGCACTATAATCCTTAATTTAAAACTCAGATAAAAACTTAGCAAATGAATCATTGCTCCTCATTTTAATTTTTGTATTGGATCGGCAGTAAATTAACAATTTTAATGCAATGGCATCAAATTTTTATAAAAACTGAGAAATCGGGAAAGAAGAAACCAAATTTTTATAATACTGGAATTATGCTCGCAATGCACTATAATCCTTGATTTAAAACTCAGATAAAAACTTAGCAAATGAATCATTGCTCCTCATTTTAATTTTTGTATTGGATCGGCAGTAAATTAACAATTTTAATGCAATGGCATCAAATTTTTATAAAAACTGAGAAATCGGGAAAGAAGAAACCAAATTTTTAAAATACTGGAATTATGCTCGCAATGCACTATAATCCTTAATTTAAAACTCAGATAAAAACTTAGCAAATGAATCATTGCTCCTCATTTTAATTTTTGTATTGGTTCAGCAGTAAATTAACAATTTTAATGCAATGGCATCAAATTTTTATAAAAACTGAGAAATCGGGAAAGAAGAAACCAAATTTTTAAAATACTGGAATTATGCTCGCAATGCACTATAATCCTTAATTTAAAACTCAGATAAAAACTTAGCAAATGAATCATTGCTCCTCATTTTAATTTTTGTATTGGATCGGCAGTAAATTAACAATTTTAATGCAATGGCATCAAATTTTTATAAAAACTGAGAAATCGGGAAAGAAGAAACCAAATTTTTATAATACTGGAATTATGCTCGCAATGCACTATAATCCTTGATTTAAAACTCAGATAAAAACTTAGCAAATGAATCATTGCTCCTCATTTTAATTTTTGTATTGGATCGGCAGTAAATTAACAATTTTAATGCAATGGCATCAAATTTTTATAAAAACTGAGAAATCGGGAAAGAAGAAACCAAATTTTTAAAATACTGGAATTATGCTCGCAATGCACTATAATCCTTTATTTTAAACTCAATAAAACGTGTCCTTCCAATTCAAATACGATTTAATTACCAATTTATTTCTTAAAAAATCTTTCAAAATGTGTGCAATTTTTTTTTCTAAATAAATTAAATTTTTCAGATGACCTCCAGCTAAATTGGGTGTTTTTCGGCAAACCAGAGGTGCGAAATAACAAAACCTACTGTCGGCTAACCGACTGCAGAATCCGCATGAGAATTGGCTCCGGTTTCATGAACCTTGAAAATTTGTTTAATGGAGATAAAAGACTTGGTAAATAGATTCCCTTGAAAACAGATTATTCTATATTTAAATTATTGTTTCGATGAAACAGGCGACAACATGAATCGAATCTTGAACGACAACTTCTTGGAGGTGATCAAGGAAGTGCAGCCTGCTTTGGAAGAAACCTTCAGCCAGTTGTACTTGAAGCTGATTTCACCAATTTTCGCCTCTGTCAAATACGAAGACGTTTTCCCTGGTATTGACCTGTCGAAGGTCAGGGCAGGTTCCTACGACGTCTAATTGTCTCACCAATTTTGCTTGAAATCTTGAGAGAGATTTGAAAATTTCCTCTACTTCTAGTACAAATTATTCCCTTTAAATTTAAAAAGATTCAAAATAGATAGTTAATTTTGTAATATTTTAATTAAAGATGAAAATTAGTAAAGAAGCTTTTCTTAAGTATAATAAAATTATGGTAGTATAATGTAGTCATTTTTTAGATAAAAAATGTCTTTTTTTAAATTACTCCACTATAGTATTAAGTTGAAAACGTTGACGCTCTTTTCATCTCTCCAAATCAATTTTTGCCTTTAGGCAACCTGCGAAGCTTGGTTGATTGGCGGGGTTGCATAGCTTTGCAAATGCCAGTCAAACATCTTATGTTTTTTATCATGCATACAAATTTATAAAATAATTTATTATTAAGAATGAACTTATCGAATTATATATAGGCTTTGATGTAAGCAAAAATAGCTTTTAGATATTTAAAGATTATTTTATTAGAAAATTGGCACAATAAATAAAGAGGAGGATTATTAGAAATGCTTAGAGAATTAATAACTTCATAAAAATACAAAGATAATATTCATTAAAAAAGCAATATAATACACTGTGAATTATTTCTCGTGTCGAGATTTGCGAGATTTGTTTAGCACAGTAAAACACATTTGTTTTCAGTTGAAGTAGAAAGTATAAGCTTAGTTTAATTCAGCACCCCCTTGAAACCTGTTTTAAAAATGATACAAAATTCATTTGCAACCCATTTACAAAAACTAATAACAAGTACAAGAATACAAATTGATAAAATATTATCAAAAACTCTTTATAAAACAATGAAATCATATCTGGAGATGTACATTGAGCGAAGTTGTAGTTCCAAGTCACTGGAATGGATGCTCAAAAGATATACATAATTATTTGAGATTGCGGAGTCAAGTATACTATTTATGTCAGAGGTAGTTGGTTCACTTAAACAATGCAAGGCGGAAGGAAAACTCATTTGATCATCTTGGTAATCCGCCCACTTCGTCCTCGTATTCTGGCCTGCAAGGTTAGAAGCAGACCAGCCAGGACGTCATGGTTGTGCAACTTCTTGCCAAAAAGAAGGCGCTTGACCGAGTCGTCGTAGGTCAGGAGAGCAACCATATTTTGCAAAAGGAAGCCCTGGCAGAATTCCAGCAACTGTCCAGCACCATAAACCTAAAAGTGTTTTATTTTTTAATTTTAATATTATTGAATTAATATTTAAATTAAACGTCAACTTAAAAAAGTGAAAAAATCTTCCAGATGGTTGGGCACCATGAAATTAAAATTGAAATTTAATTAAGATGAAAGGTAACAAATTAAAAATAAATAAATTTAAAAATTTAAAAAAAAAAAACTTAAAGCTCAGGTTTAATAAGCATTTTTTTCTTTACCTTTGCGTGGATATACATGGACACAATGTTATCCAAGTCGACAAGGGAGGCGCACTGAGCTTCACAAAAACGTAAAAGTCCATCCAGTTGGAAGAAATTGGCAGCAGCCATCAGCTCCAAGACATCAGTTTGATCCACTTCCAGAGAGTCAACACCTCCATTATACAGATACTGCATCACCATCTGCAATAAAATAACATAATTTAAAATTTAAATAATGTGATTGCTAGACAAAAGAACAAAAATGATAGCCTTTTTCACATTTTTTTTTCAACAATATAAATTGATATTGTAAGTTGCAAGGAATTAAAAAAGTTATTCTGAATGATTCATAATTTTCATTCATTTTAAAAGCCCAATTTATTTAAAATAAATACCCACTGCACTTGAAGTTTTCATGAAAAATTTTCCTAAAATTTATTTGAAATGATTTTTTATTTTTCTTACTTGGAAGATGTTGTATCTGATGTCGTTGATCTGCACAACCGGAGGACTTCCTTCACAGAACTTTGAGCTGAGCATGGACTTAAACCTGGGACTGGCAGTGACCAGCACGATTTTGTGAGCAAAGAAAAGCCGGCCCTCTACACGAAACCTGACGTCGCTCAACTCCTCGTTGTTGACAAACTGCGGGTCAATCCGAGCGCTGCCGGGCGACATCATGGCCTGCTCGCGAATTTCTTTCACGTTCTCCCAGCCGTAGCACGTGGAAAAGATATCTGCTAGCAGCAAAGTTGTGCCCTCCTTCTGGAAACAAGTGTGGTTAGCATTGGTGGAAGTTTTGAAAAAAATTTCTCCAATAAACTAAAGATTAAAAAAATAGAACAAAGGGAATTTTTCCGCACCTTGCTGTACCGAAAAATTGTAAAAAGCAGGGGCAGGCACTCGTCTACAAATTGCTCCGAGTAATCATCAGGCCACACTTGCAGAAAATCCTGCAAAAGTTGGTCAATAACGCTCTCAAGTCGGAGCTCGTGCGCGCCGCTCAGGGCCAACATCCAGCAGTGAAGGGTCCAGGGAACCCCAATATGACGAAGGTCAAGGGTTAACTCTATAATATTATTATCAATTAATAAATGTATTAAAAAAATTCTTAGGAAAATATAATTTGTACATTTTGCTCAAGGTTCAATAAAATGCAAAAAAAAACTTGGTTTCTTACTTTTTTAAATTTACATTTTTACTTAATAAAAACAATCTATTAATTAAAGATTTGAATGAAATTCTAGATTCATAATTCTTTTTACCAAGGTGGTTATTTTCAGCGCTGTGGTACATTGCCTCTTGAAGGGCCTTGATTTGGCTCTTGCTGAATTTCAGGTTGGTTTCCTCATTGAGAATTGCAGCATTGCTGTTCCTACGCTCTGACGTAGCAGCACCTGCAGTTCCAGAAAATATTTGTTTAATTGACGCATGCAGGTGCACTTAAAAATTGAAAGACAAATAAGATAGCTAAGTGAGACGAATTTTGCTTATCAGTGTTTTTATTATTCTTTCAATTTGCGTGTGAGGGAGCTGATTAAATTTTTAAATGAAATTTGGGTTAAACGCGCATTATTTGATTAAAGTTAATCTAATCTATTGAAATGAAAGTATAAAAATCGTCAGATTTCCTGCAGACGAAACTTGAAGTTACAATTGTCTGCTAAAAAAATGATGCTCAAAGTCGTTCTTGCCTGCCTTTTGGTCTCCGTTACTTGTGCTAAGGGTAAATACTATTTTCAAAATTTATATGAAGTAATTCTCAAAATAAATTTTCATCTTTTAGATATTCGCATTGAGTTGACCGGAAATTATTACTTTAGCACAGATATAGTGAGAGCATTAATTTCTTTACTTTAATATTAATTTTAATTAAAAAAATCTTGTAGAAATCGTGGTATGATGCGCGAATTTTCTGTAGCAACAACAATCTCGAACTTGCTTCGGTCCAGGATGAAGCGGAAGCATCATTGATCCAGTCTTTGGCTCCAGGTAATTAAATCGCATTAACTTAGATTAAAAAAAAATTAATTAATAAATAATGAAATTCTTTCAGCCCAGGGAATTTACTGGACTTCTGGAACTGACTTGAACAATCCCAACGGAAACTTTTTCTGGTCGAGTGGTGCTGCAATCGAGCACAGCAACCCTATGTGGGCCGCTGGAGAGCCTAACGACTATCTGACCGCCGGAACCGAAGTTTGCGTTTCGATTAACACCAATACTGGCAAAATTCAAGACAGTCTCTTTTGGGAACAATACAAGTACATCTGTGAATCCGTTTAATTTGAAGAAATAAAATTTTGATAAAAAAAAAAGAACTGACCTGTTTCTCCTTCTGCCAAAATTTCCTCAAGTGACAAAACTTCTTTTGGGGCGGCGACAGGGTGGTGTGCGAGCAAGTGGTGCATAGTTGCCCTTTGACCGTGAGCAGCGGCCACAGAAATCGCACTGAAGTAAAAAAATTATGTAATTTTAGATTATTAAGCAGATAGGTTAAATAAATAGTTCTATTAACACACATAAAATCTTTACCGAGTCCACAAGATGGAATTCACTCAAAATTTATTCACTTTATAAGGATAATGTAATCTTACATCCAGTTTAAAAAATAATAATTCTCAATACTGAAAAACAAATATAAGTAAAACATTATTTAAATAAAAAAGGAATAAAAATATTAAATTGTTTGATGAAAATTACTTTAAAAAATTAAAGAGTAATCTCAAAAAAGAAAAATTTGTGACACATGATTTATAGTTTTACTTCGTAATACATACATTTTTTTAACAATTAAAACTTGATTAATTTTTTTATGTAATAAATTTTTCAAATTATATCTCAACTTGGCTTTAATCTTCTATGAAATAAGAAATAGATATTTGCAACTACATTATAAAAGTGGTTAGAAGTTTGAGCAGATAATTAATTGTATTTGAACATTCAAAACCAAATTATAAATTTCGATAGTTTAAAGGGGGGAAACATTAAATAAAATATGGTATTTCATTTTAAATTTTACCTGAAGCAACCTCTTTGTGCGGCGCCGGAGTAGCAGAGTGAGTCTTTTATAAGCGTGGAGAGGAAAGGGTTGGCGCCGTGTGAAAGCAGCAGGGTCACCATGTCCTGGCTGCCGACGGCCACGGCCACCTGGAGAGGCGTCTCGGTGCACCGGTCCTCCGAGAGACGCGCGCCTCCCTCAACGTTGGCCCCCCTTTCAAGGAGCAGACGCGCAACCCCAGAGTGGCCCTGCAGGGCGGCGTAGGTCAGCGCCGTCCAATGCTGCGTCTCATCTGTCGCTCCACCCTGTCGAGAGCCGGGGGACTCGGTGTCCACGTCCGCGCCGGCTTCCAAGAGCAGACGAACGGACGCTTCGTCGCCGTGCACGCAGGCGGCCATCAGAGGCGTCAGGCCCTGCTCGTTGACTGTGTTGATCTGCAAAATTTTTGGAGAAAATTTTTAATTTTTATTTACAGAATTCTAAAAAAATTGAACTATTTATAACTGGTCATTTTTATTGCATTGCAGGCTAATTCCTTTTTTACTTTTCACCTGCTTTGGACACTCTTACTTTTTAGGATATTGTTATGGCAGTACCAGGCAGTACAAAGAACAATTTTTAAGCAGAAGTTTGCACCCGTTTGAGCGCAAAAATTGATTAAATAATAAAAATATTAAATTTCACAAATATACACTGTATGTAGCTATTGAGTCACTTTTTTATTGTTACAAACTAATTTTTCTACTTTTAAAAAAGATGATGATAAAAATATTAAATAAATAAAAAAGCATCCTTCGAAAAATAATTGATATTTTTACAACCATGAACTGTTTTGAAAATTTGAATCACTAAATTTAAAAAGTTTCCAAACAGTCAACTTAATTATAATTTTACTATTAGTTTTCAAAACTGAATTTCTTGAAAAAAAATTTAATTGTTCATATTTCGAGTAAAATTAAGCCTGGACAGTTTGATTAGATCTTAACAACACAGAACATCTCTGCCATCATAAATTGACATCCAATTTTTTTCTAAACAAAATATTAAATTTTAAATGATGCGACCTAAAAAGTTGGCGATGCCTCCGTAAAGATAACCGGAAATACCGGTAATCCATTTCAATGCAGACGTCAGCAGAAGCCTGCCGAATAAATCAATAGCCGGTTTCGACTTTCAAGATTTAATCGACAAGTCATAGGAATGATCGACGAACGCATGCTGAGTGAGGAGTGCACCCAAGGGCCCGAACGAACTCTTCTAAAGACGGAATTTAATAAATCTAATCAACATTCGGGTTCGGCGCTTGGTCAAAAGACACAAAGTTACAATACACAAATGATATCTCGTCAGCACGGAAATTAGATAGCATCTCTGATAGTGCGGGACCATCCATCATGCTAATTGACACTTTTCTGCTCGCAGCAATTGAAAAGGGCCAGGTGTGCGTCGGCCGAACAAGCCAAAATTCAGCAACTTCACTTGGGCGTGAACTTGTTAATGTGCGAACTTTTTTGCAAGGGACGTGTGAGAAAATGTGGGACGTCAAAATATAAGAATACGCCGCTTAATGACTGGTGTGTACACTGACCTTGGCGGAGGGCAGCAGCTGGAGCGCGTGAGGAATCAGGTCGGTGCGGCCGCAGCTCAACATCTTGAAGGCGAGGTCCGTTTTGAACCGGCGGACGCAAGCACCCTCGTCGCCGGTCGGTCTTTTCGGACACAAAACTTCCTCTTGGCTGAAACAAAATTTGCACATTAAGTACGCAAAAAAAGAAAATCGTTAATGAAGTCTTAAGTCTTTATAGATTTTTAAATAATGATATTTGAGAAGAAATAAAAGCAAGTTTAGAGTAGTTTTGTTAATATAGTCGTATGAATAAAAAGACTTTTTTTTAGGATGTGATTTTGAGGATGACTGAAATTTTAAAAAGAAATCAAATTAAATTTAAAATTTAGTTCTTTTGAACCACAATCCACGTGTTAAATAATTTAAAATCTTTTATATAAAATTAAATTTATTTTCTATTTTTGGGATGTTCATAATAAAGCAAGAACAAAACGGACGTATAAAATATTTTAATACTTATAAAATGTATGTGTTTTTAATAATTATTTTATTAAAATTTTATGTCAAGTTTTAATGATATTTTTTTATGAACAGGGTTTCAAATTCTTGTAGTGCAAGCTTCAAGGCAGCATTTTTTTTTTTAATTATTAAGTCCTCGAGGCTGAAACTGAAGCTGATAATTGACCCTTACATGCGTGCAGCAGATTCTGTTTTTTTTTTTTTTATAACAAAAAAGTCAACATTTCAGGAATTTTTCTTTCTCTGACGGGCAGGTAGAAAAATAAATATACTTTGAGGCAAACGACCGTTATTACGCGGGGAGACAAAGGAATTAATAATAAATGGAAATGACTGCGAGAGTCGCCTACTGGAATTGAGGTTATAATGGCGAGCCCGCAGCGCATTGTGTGTTGTGAATGTCAGAGGAAAGAGCAGGATGCCCTGCTGGACCACGAAAAATTAGCTCTCGCGCGCCACATACAGATCTATGCGACTGAATAATTGACGCCCGGGGTCTTTCTTTGGTGAGCGAGGCTCAGCGCCGCACGGGACAAAAAACGCTGTGGAATGTGATACAGTAGCAAAGCAGGCAAGGGCACAGCAAGGAGATCAAATAATTCGTCAAATAAAAATATGAATATACAAGACACAAAGGATTTTATTAAATAATCTTTTGGCCATAAAATTGAAGATAAAAAAAAAATTCGCTGCAATAGTAAAGTTTTGAAATGGATTTTTTTTTAAATAAACAATATGATTTAAAAGATGAATTATTATGTGATTTCTGGAGATTAAATAATTTTAATATAACATTCATACTGTGTTCCTATTGTGATACTCTTTTGATATATAAAAAAAATGTTAAGCGGGGTAATACCTCGGAAACTTTTCTCGTGTTAGACTTATAAATTGTAAGATCTTCATTTTAAAGTAAAAAATAATAAAAATTATCTAAAATATTCATTTTTTTAATTTTTTTTTCAACGCCAATAAAAATATTCTGTCTGGGAAAAAATTTACTCACCAAACCAGTCTGACAGGACAGTCAACGCCGGGCAGCAGCAGCCTGGCAGCTTGGAGAACGTCGTCCCTGTCGATGGCCGGCGCCCTTCGGTGTTCTGCGTGCGCTGCCGCCGCCCTTGCCCACTCAGTGAGTGGTGGCAAGACGGCGTAGGGTCGCTCATAGACCAATTCCTGCACAGGTCCGCCGCCCTCGGCATGCTCGGCGTGTTCGAGCTGCGAGCAGCGCATGAAATAGAAGAGGGCGTGCAGGGCAGAGGCGGCCCAGTGGGGCGGCGCGCGACCCTGCGACCGGGTCACGTGTTGCGACACCCTGGCCAGAAGTTCAGACAGCTCGGCCGCCGACCCCACACACGTGGTCAGCAGACACTGTTCCAAAGTCTTGCCACCAGCGCCAGCGCCTAGGCCGTGCGTGACCGACTGGAGGCTGCACGAAGAGGCGCCTTCGTCCGTCGAACTCAAACTAACAGCACTCGGCCAGCGTGGCATGGAAAGGGCGCCTACACAAAAATTTTTTCAATTAGCTTAGAACAAAAATTTAAAAAAAAAAACAGTTTAAAATTAGTGAATTTCAGTGAATTATATTTTCTTTGCAATTTGAATTTTATATTTTCTATTCTAATGATTATATCTTTTAATTCTTAAAAAACTTCATTCTTTCATAATTTTTTTTCTTTTTAATAATTTTATTCAAAGTTGGTTTCAATTTAAAATAATCATGTACCTGTGGCAGTTCGTCCTGCATTCAGATGAGCGTAGGGTTGCAGAAGCCCCCAGAGATCACCATTTGTGGCAATGGCGTGTTCAAATATGGGTGCAGTGAGAAGTGAACTGTCGTCAGGAAGACACTGCAAAATCACCTCTTCCAGCAAGTTTTCCATTCCAGCAGCCAAGTAAACAGCAGCATATCTGCAATTGTAGAAAATACACTTTTTTTTTCAATAGCGTTGATTTGAATTTAATGATTATAACTTTTTATAGAGAATGACTCTCTTCAACATAAGAAAAATAATGCAACCACAACTTTCCTAAGAACTTATTTATGAAAACGTCAATATAACTACTCACTCGTGAATGAATTTTCCAAGCCGGACGTCACTCATCCACCTGTGGAAGCGGCCGACGCTGAGCTGGAGGCCGGCGCGCGCCGACTTGCTCTGCTTGAGTTGGTCACCGGACACTGCAAACATGGCGGCCGCCCTAAGGCAGGACTTGGTGCAACTGTCGGCCAGGGCGGGCGACAGGACGATCTTGAGGGCACTTGCCACTTCGTGTTTGCTGCACATGCCCAGGGGTTTGGCCAGCCGTTGGGCTTCGCGTGCTATCCGGACGAGGGCCCTTTGCAGAAGATACGCCAGGCGAGGCACCGTTTCCATTGAGACTCTCTCCAGGTGGTCCTTGGCGCGACCTTGCTGGATCACGCGCAGAACGTCGTGGTTTGTCCATGGCAGATGCTGGAGCTCAACCAGTCTATAAAAAATTTGAAAAAAATTCAGTACTAAATATTGTAAGAACAAAAAAATCAGATGAATATTGGTCCTATTTCATAGAAAAAATGTGTTTATTCCACTCAAAATTATTCCCAACTAATTTTTTTAAAAATTTTATAATTAAATTATTTAAGATCAATTGATTAAAATTTTCCCCACTTCCCAACTTTGTTTTAAAAGTAATTTCTAGGGCTGAAAAAAAAACTGCAATTGAATAGGTACCTGTTGTGAGAATCCACCCAGACAAACTCGTCAGCCGCCGTGCCGTTGGTGTTGATGGTCTCGAGGCTGGAGTGTCTGATGAGTCTTCGGACGGGTTCGCTCTCACTGCCGCTCATGCTTGAGTAGGTGGAGGTGCTGTACGAGGCCCTGGAGCCGTGCGACCGCAGGGTGAGTTGCTCAATGGCCAGCCGGATATCCTCTAAACCACCCCCAGACTCCAGTTTTGCAGGGGTGGCACGGTGGCGCGACCGGGACGTTTGCTGAATGACGGCGCCTTTCCTGGAGTTGCTGGCTGCGTGGGTGTTTGACGGACGCGACGCCTGCTCTTTCTGCAGGAGCATCACGCTGGCTGACAATCTAACAGTGGAAAATGCAGCTTTGGTTAAATACAGAAATTTCATTATATATTGAACAAATATTTTTCTAGTAGAAAAATCTGAGAAAAATGTTTGATATTCAATCAGTATCACGTGCTTTTGAATCTGTTTAAAATTATTGACCATAATTTAATAAAATAAAAATGATTATATCCAAAATTTCAATTTTTTCCCCCATTATAATCCAAAAAAAATTGTAACACAAATTAAAGACCTCCCACAACCTTTGAATTGCAAGATTTTACTTAATTTGTCCAGATTAATAAATTAAGAGATACCAATAAAAAAATTAAAATCCAATTTTTTTGCATACCTTTCATCTTCAGGAACAGCACCAAGGGGTGACTTGTAATGGTTATGTTTCCTGCCCAGCGAATCTGCCGGCGGTGAAGAACTAGTGTGTCCGTCTGACATGCTGGCGTGTCCTGAGGAGCGATTTTCATCACTTGAAGATCCTCCACAAGAATCTTGCCGTCTCTGAAAAATAAAAACACAAATTTAGAAAAAAAATTGGTTCAGAAAAATTTCAAATTTTTTACCTGCAGGAGTCTGAGTTCGTCAACACTCAAGTGATGAGGGAAGCTGAGAATGTTTCTTCTCCTGGACTTCATTTTGGCGGCTGGTCTTTTTAACCTGGACCCTGGGCACTGCGAGTTGTCTTCGGCTGTTGCATGTGGTTGCTGGCTCATGGGGTTGCTCTTCTCGGGGGACTCTGGAATGGTTGGGCTGCCTTTGCTCTCGTTTGCCTGTTCATTACACACATTGTTAAGAGATCCATATAAATGTATTTGTAAAAATTCAATCACCTTAAAGTTTATAAGGTAGCTATCATATTTGGAAGAAATAATAAAATGCAGTAAAACGTAAAATAAAATTTTATTTGTGGGCAAAGAAAAATAAGAAAATTAAATCCTAAGATATTCTTGGATCCTTGAGTAATAAAACCATAATTAAGGTGTTGGCGTTTGCTTTTTTTTTTTTTTTTTTTTTTTTTAGTTTTTATTACCATTGGAAATTGAAAACAAATTTAATTATGCGTTATTGAGATTATATATTTATATTTCTAATTAAAGTTTTGACATTTTTGTTACGTTTCCCGTTGTTTCCAAATTTTTAAACACACACCAGAAATAAAAATCGACAAAATTAAATTTTGAAGTTTAAATAAATCAAACTAACCTCAAGTTCATTTTCAGCAGCTCTTATGATTTTTTCGACTGCTGGCGGGTTGTGCTGCTTAGGTTGAAGCACCTGCTTTTCATGTGGAATGTCCCTTTCGGGGAACTGCTGAACATTGTAAAACTGGCAGAGCTCCAGTTTATTCAAACCGGCGCTTCCAGGGGTCGTGGTTGAAGAAGACGAGTTGCTGTCCGGTGACCATTCCGTCAACGGAGGAGTGCTTTTGCCCAGGGTAGGTGGTGTCCCGGTAGGTCGGGAGGGAGTGGCCCTTAAAGGAGACTGTCTGGGCACTGGAGCAACCTGAATTTTTTCATTCAATTTAAGTAAAATTAAATAGGAAGGTAAATGCAAGTTTTACTTCTCTGCTTGAGGCTTTGTAGACAGCAACCCCATTGGAGGCGGGGGAGGGTCTTTGGGGGAGGACGGCGACGGTGGTGGTGCTCGTCGCCGAGTACTCGGTCCAGCCAGACTGCGCAGAGGCCAGACGGTCTTTGCTCACCGTCCTGAGGAGGGCGGCCGGCGCGGGGGCGGTGGCCAAGGGCGAAGGGGTCGACGGACCGTTTGAATGTTGAGGCATCGCTCGGGCTACTGAAAGACTTGCTCCGCCGCGCACCACATTCTATAACACACAAATTGAAATGGATTAATTTTTTCTAATCAACATTATAATTTTTCTTCAACGGTTTAATAGGTTGGAATTTAAAATTTTTGAAGAAAAATATTTTACAGCGAAGTAAAGTTTGATTTTCCGCGTTTAATTCATTGCATCTTCAGTTTAAGTAATGCTTTCATAACGCTTTTTTTCCAAATGTCCCCCGAAGCCAGATGACCAACGTCATCAATAAATTTGGAGTAAAATGCAAATTTCTTCACAGTTAGTCCAATTCTGGGCGGATCCGCCTTTTCTGCAAAATTGCCAGCAGGCGCCTGCCTAACGTGCTTGACTGTCTGGTGCTCAGTCGTCATTACCCGAAAAACTATGATCCGTTCAGATTGACGTGTTTAGCATATGCATCGAGGCCAACTGTAAATTATCCAGCAGCTTTGCTGGAACTCGCGAGCACGTTCATTAATGCAAAACGCTGCGAGCATCAATATAGACATAAACTCATCAATGGCGCTTCTGCCGTTCAAGAAAAAAAAATGGCTTTTGTGCGACCGTAAATTACGAGTTTAATTTTGTTAGCACAAGTTTGACTGGCGGGCAAAACTTTAAAATAGAGCGAGAGAGAAATATATATGGCAAAACAGTCAAAATTTTTAAGGAATAACAAATTAATTAGTATACGCACCAAGAAAAAGAATGTTTTGCTGATGAATGAAAGTAATTTAATTCCTCACACATAAATGAATTAATAAAAATGGTTAAAAAAAAACTCTACCCTCAACTTTCCTTTTTATTAAAAATATTTGAGAAATCTTGAATCATTCAAAAAGTTAAATGAACTTAAAAATTCCAAAACGTTACAGATTTATGACGTTGGAACAATTATGTGCATTTTATGTGTGCTTCATTATTGCTATTACCACGGGACGTCACTCCGTTTTTTACGACGTAAGCGAGATCAAAACACATTTTACGAGCGTGCCAGTGAAATAACGCATGGTTTTATGATTGATATTATTAGTGTCTGCATGCCGCGTGCATCTCAAATGCACCTCTGACGGCGCGGCATTATTTAGAGAGAGAAGAAAAATTGCAATGCCGATCTTGACGTACTTTGTGTGTTGGACTGCGTGCCGATAAATCAGAACCGACTGACTTGAAAGTGCACATAATTTTTTTCTGGATGCACTCAACCAGAACATAAGATAAATAGCGTGCCACTAAATTTTTACTTAACTTTCAAACTTGAGAATAATAAACAATATTTCTGTTGCGAGAGAATTAAAAGTACTTACTAAATATTATTTAATTTTTTGGCAGTCAATTTTTTTAATTGCTTCATAAAACATTAAAATTTTTAGATTTACACATTTGTAAATCATTTATAAAATTTTCATATAAATGTACTCTCTTTTAGACTTCTATGAAGAATAAATAATAAATATATGTAAATTGAAAAAAAAAATAACTGAAACTCGATTAAAATGTGAACAAATCAGGCATCTTTCACACACAAAAATCTTCAAAATGGAAAAAATAGAAAAGGAAGTTTAATTAAATTGACTGTCAACAAAAGTATCACAAGTACTGCGCAAGTACTGCGCAAGTACTTCGCAAGTAAAGCGGAAGTACTTCGCAAGTAATGCGCAAGTAACGCGTAAGTACTTCGCAAGTAAAGCGTAAGTACTTCGCAAGTACTTCGCAAGTAACGCGCAAGTAATCCGTAAGTAATTTTTAAGTACTTCGCAAGTAAAGTGTAAGTACTTCGAAAGTACTTCGTAAGTAATGCGTAAGTACTTCGCAAGTAAAGTGTAAGTACTTCGCAAGTAATGCGCAAGTAACGCGCAAGTAACGCGCAAGTAATCCGTAAGTAATGCGTAAGTACTTCGCAAGTAAAGCGCAAGTACTTCGCAAGTAAAGCGCAAGTAATGCACAAGTACTGTACAGTACTATTGGTACTAGTAGCACCACTTGAAATATTAAAAAGTATTATTTTCAGTCGATTTTATTAAATCAAGTTTTGCGTTTTCTTAGACAAAAGACGCAAGTATTTGCAATAATTCCGTTGAGTCATTGGCCAACCCTTAACGCCCTGGCCACACGTTTTACCGCCATGCTGTTGGACAGTTTCCACATAGACAGTTTCCTGCACTACAAAAAGTTCACATTAAGTCTGACCGAGTCTGACCAAAGTCAAAGGTCTTGTCATTCTTGCATATAATCATTTTCTAACTTCATTCTTTCTGTCAGACCGTTTTTCCGAGCTGTCAAATTGCCAATATAAATTAATCGTCAGTCTGATGTTTGCAAGCAGCTCTGAAGAAAACAGATTTATTTGATTCAAAATACATGACATCTAAGTGCTTGAAAGGAAAAAAAATCCTTCTTTATCACGACTAGGCACATATATGTCTGCTGTAAATAATAAATAAATAAAAACAAACACTCTTAAAAATATTACAGCCACTTCATCGCTCAAGCAGAATAAAAATATATTATACGCTCTTGTTGAAGGAATTTGTCACTCAAGCGATGATTAATTGACACCGCGAGCTGCTTTCTCGGCGCAAAGTGTGTTTTAAATCACACACACAAGAGACGCGATAATTTATTATTGAAATTAATGGAACGGAATATGCAGCGACCGATTACATTGATTCATGTTTAATCAAATGACGGAACAGCTTTGGAATTCAAAGAAAAGTCCGCTGGAAATAGAGAGGCTGAATTTGACAAGCATTTTGAAATTTTGGATGAAATAAAAATAAATAAATGATATTAAACCCGTTTTAATTAAAAACTCTTTGAAGCGAAATTCATTATTATTTTTTCTATTTCGTGTGAAAATTTTTAAATAATACTAAACTTATATACTTACTTACTTACTTGCGCCGCTTGAAAAATAAAAAAATTCATTTCTCGATGTTTTTATGTTTCCTAAGCTTCATAGCTACACTTCTTAATATAGAAAAGCTTTTTTGCAAATTTAACTTGAGCAAATTTTAAGGGTTGGCTGCTATTTTTGAAATGATAAATAGTAGCTCAATTGCATCGTTAAAATGATTTTCTTCATCAATCCAATGCTAATTTTTTTGTGCTTGATTCCAAAGAGGCATCTGAAAAATGCCCTCGCAAGTTTTATAGCAATCATCTTCCTTCAAAATATGGCCTATTTAATTCTCTATAGCAATTAAACCATTCTTTAATTAATTTTATGGTGCCAGCGTAATTAGATTGCCGCGTAATTCCTGATGATGCGAGGAGCGTTTATTTTGAGTTTAAAAAGGGGCAAAAAATCGGCGCAATCACGGTGAGTAATTAGAGCCGAGGCCGAATTATTAAAAGCTGCGCGCAAATTGCCGAGATGTGCTTCTGGTGAGGCCGTGATTAATAACAATATTTTGCCAGCGAATCGCAGTGCGAGTGATGACTTACAAAACAGCAAAAGCCAAGAGAGAGAAGACAACAAAAAACGACGACTCGGGGACAATGTACAGCTGTGGGGATAAAAGAAAAATTAAATTTCGCTGCCGGCGAATATGGAATATGCCGTACGTATTCAAAACCGGTTGGCCGGACGGCGACGTCTCTCCTCTGCCCAGCGAAAATAATAATCATCGTAATCTTCTCTCTCGGTCCGAGACTCTTCTCGCGCCGTGTGTAATTTCGCTCGAATTTTAATTTGGCCGTAAATTAATGACACGAGCACCAGACACGACTAATTAAAAGAGCTTTATGTGTCCGAAATCTTTCACGACTACTTAAAATTTCTCGCCTTTGGTTATCTCAACAAATAAAGCTATAAAAGTGCTAAAGCAATTATTAAAAAATTATGTTAATTCAAAAAATTATGATACACACTTTCTCCGATTAATTGAAACTTGGAAGTGTCAATAGAGGTTTTCTTATTTACTGCTTGTTTGTTGATTGGTTGCATTGAAGCTTTATTGATAAAAAAGTGGACAGTCGTGGCCGATAAATAATGACACAATATGACAGAATTGCTGGCGTGCGGTCAGAATATTAATTCTAAATACAGCTGAGGAATTGTTTCTCAGAAGGTTTTACTCGATTTGTTATTTATTTGTCATGCAAACAGTAAAAGTTTAAGTAATCTGAAGTAAAGTGCATTAATTTCAAGGAATTTCTAAATATAAAGAGCTAGAAAAGCAAAGTTACCAAGAAAATAAATAATGTATCGCTTTTAACGTTAGACATTTATTAATTATAATTATTTTTCATTTAATAAAAGCAAAATATGAAAAATAAGGTGGATTCTGGTAAATAAAAAAAACGTTATTTATAAATTTTCTCATCCCATTCATATTCAAATAGAAAATTTGAACATAAGATTGAATTGCCAGAAAATTCAACGAGCTCAAACTATGAAAAACTTGCAGACAATTTATTCAGAATCTATATCAAGTTAAACGTGCCACGATGAGCATTGAAATAGTGATACAAAATATTGCAAAATTCAAATTCAATCTTACTAAACAATATAATTTTTTCTACGCCTCTGTAACTAATTGAAATTTGATCTAACCTTTGAATATATTGGGTGGGTGTCATTTCTGTCCTGCACGACACAGATCCATATAATAAAATCTCTCACGCGAAATTTCCACCTGACTTATGCAAGTGGCATGTAATTTTGAGTGCAAAAACTTCACATTACGCAACCTGAATTTTTCACCAGAGAACATAATATAACACAAAGTGCAACAAAGTTGATTTCCCACGTCAATTTGTACCACGAAATTAGCGAACGGGGGCGATTGGGTTTCACTCGGCCGGAACTCGTACTCGGCAGCCCATTCGAAGGCGAGATCGAATTTCACGCAGCATCACTCGCTCTATTTGCATAACAGCGGCAGCTGCTCTACGCCAAGTGGAAGAAAATAAAAGTGGTCGCTCTCTGCTCTTTTCAATTCCGAGAGATTTGCTCTCTGTGAATGCAGCACTCGCTTTTGTCAGGGGCTGCACGATGACGATGGTCCACCGCTGGCCTT